AGGGCACAAGGATAAAAGCTGTCCGATAAACCTTTTGTCCTGCTACTAATAGATCTAAAACGTCGCATTAGCTAGGGTAACAGCTGAAACAAGTGGTACCTGGAATGCGAGTTCATTACAGTTTCTGATCTGATGCGACGGCGATAATCAGAAATGTCTTCGAACAAGGATTGTCAGCAGCCAACATCCATTATAATCTGAAGGGACTCTCTGGTCTGCTGCCGAATTGCTTGCATATCAAACAGTGATGCCATACGGCATCACACTATCAACAGAGAAGAGGTATATATATATATATATATATATATATATATATATATATATATATATATATATATATATATATATGTGAATTTGTAGAAAAATTGGAAAGAACACGTTAGGTAAATAATCCGAGTTCTTTAGTATTTTTGTTTTTTTTTTTATTTTTAAAAAACAGTGGCCCATACAGAAGTAGAGCTTAAGGTACATTGAAAACGAAGAGAGTACACTTCCAACGTTCATAACATTTAATTTAAAAGAGAGCTCGGTGCATTAAATCTTTCACTCGCCTGAGGAGACGCATTGTTATGCGTTGAAACACGACTGCAATTGTGTAGCGATTCTTACACGTTTTTGTTGTAATATCTTAATATATATATATATATATATATATATATATATATTATTAAAGAAAATGTGTGCACTCTAATGAGATCTCTCGAACATCCAGAGCATTAGACGAAAATAAATAAATATACTGCTTTATAAATAAAGGAAAATTCTACTGAAATATGTGTATCCACTATTGTTTAAGTAAAAACTTCGGTTAGATTAATATATATATATATATATATAAACATAGTTTTAAGGTATGCTATATTTATGGGTAAAAGTGCTCAATATCATGGATGAAGTGTATGTAAATATAAAAACGTACACTGCGATTAATAGCGAGTGACGATTGTCTGTTTCATTCTTGAACGCAATATTCAGGCCTGTGTTGACCTTAGTGTACACTTTTACATATATATACATACATACATATGTATATACATACATATATATATATACATACATATATATATATACATTCATATATATACATATATATATATATATATATATATTTATATATATATATATATACATACATACATATATATATATATATATATATATATATATATATATATATATATATATATATATATATATATATATATATGTATGTATATATTTTATTACGCGTGTGTGTGCGCGCGTGCGAGACAGAGAAGCGAGTGAAGTTGCAAAGTTTCCGGCACAATCCACTAACACAATCTGACCAAATGAACAAATTTTCATTGCTTTTTTTTTTTTACTTTTTCTGCAACTGGTACGCATCTTTTGTACAACTGGTACACATCTTTTGGACAACTGGTGCGTATTTGCTTATGGTAAAAAGTTTATAGTATACTTGCTGCGATTTAAATCGGGATTTTATGGATGTGAAAACGTGATTAATTGTCTGTAAAAATATTTTAATTTATTCATCAACGATGTGATTAAGAAAGCCATTAGTAAGTGTTTGTTTAATATTCGATAATTGTTAATAGAAAAATACTTCAGAGGAGGAGATTAATTTAGCATAGTTAATATAGTTTTATGTCTGATATCGGTAAAGGCATCGAGTTTGGTATTTAAAGAGGTAGGCGTTAGTACCAAACGGATGTGGGTACTTTGATGTAGGAAAGGTCTGATCATTGAAATCAAAAAGAACGCCGAGGAAAGGTGTATCCTTAATTAATGCAGAGTTCATATGCAAAAATGAGTCCGGAATTACTTTTAAAGATTTATATATATATATATATATATATATATATATATATATATATATATATATATATATATATAGAGAGAGAGGGAGACAGAGACAGAGAGCAAAGATAGATAGATAGATAGATAGATAGATAGATAGATAGATAGATTATGAAAGAAAGATATATTATGAGAGAAAGAGGTAGAGAGAAATATTATGAGAGAGAGGTAGATAGATTATGATAGATAGATTGCAAGATAGATAGAGAAAGATTACGAAATTGCTAGATAGATAGATAGATTATGAGAGAGAGAGAGAGAGATTATGAGAGTGAGATGTAACTAGAACAATAGATAGATAGATAGATAGATAGATAGATAGATAGATAGATAGATAGATAGATAGATAGATAGATCAGTATTGAGTGTATGTGTGTGAGAGAGACGTACTGATCTTGGCACGTTCCACTTTTTTTTTGGTGAGGGTGGGGAGTTTTCTTCATAGGGTCGACAACCTTCATCTCCCCTTCGAGGATAGTTGTGCATATAGAAATGCTTATTTCTATGCACAAACTGTTTATATATATCTTCGATATGGAGCTCTTTAGTCCTATAAATATAGCCAATTTAAAACCACACACACACAAAAACGCGCGCACACACACACACACACACACATATATATATATATATATATATATATATATATATATATATATAT